CAGAATCTATAACTGCTCCTCCATCACCGATGCCTCTTCGTGGCAGTCAATCTTCCCGCTTTGCGCTTGTCTTTGACTTTGAGGTTATGGCTGGTAGTCAACAAGATGTGGCAAAGGAACATTCAGTATCTGTGCATTAAAGCCCTCCTTTATTACAATGACAATATCACTAGGCAACTGCCTCATCATCCCATCAGTCTTTTGTGCCTCTCTCCGCATTCAGAAGCTCCCACAGGAATTGCTGCACTGGCTGGACAAAGTTTAGATCGCTGAACTCATGCACCTCCACAAAAACAGAAGAACCTAAATATGAAATTCATCTCTCCCACAGGCAGCCCCTAGAGCTGTTTTGCTGAGTCCTTCACCTTTCTACAAGAACTAGGCTTTGTCTTCACAAGCGTTCTTCAACAAACCTGTCCTGTTAAGAACTCGATCCCCTTTTTAGTACCTGCATTATTTTTTTCCTACCCACAGCCACCTCTTTGCTGCTGTGCATGTTTTTCTTGTGTGGTTCCCAGGTTCTCAATTTCCTTAGTTACTCTGCTATCTCAGCCTCCAGTCTCTATACTTCAGACTGCAGCTCCTGCTTTATTCCTGGGATAGTCTCCAGCTCTTGCCATTCCTCTGGAGTCACGTCACTGGGAACGCAAGATGTCTTCCTTGGCCACACTGCAGGGACAGTGGGCCTTCATAGGTGCCAGGTGTGCCTCTGGGGCATGTAACCTGTGCAGTGGCATAGTGTCAAGTGCTCAGAAGAGCCCTGCACTTGGTTTAATGCTCTGCTCTGTCTTGAAATTCTTAATAGTTTTTGAACTAGGAGCCCTGTGTCTTTGTTTTGCCTTGGACCTGCAAATTAAGTAACCACTCCTGCTCAGCAGCTTGTGTCCTGCTGTGCAGGAAGCAGCAGCAGGTGCTAATGCCTCACCTTGCTTCTGTAAGGTACAAAATATATGCAGATGAAAATCCTTGAGCTGCTTTGCCATGAAATAATCAGATAGCCGTAACAAAAGTGAAGTTTAACAGAAATGCTTCATGATGTTAGCAGAACATGGAACCTACATTGTTGGGGTAGTTTTAGGAGTTATTGAAAGAACGTTCTCAATGCTTGCATCACCTACCCATGACAGAATCCTGGAAAAATTATTAAAGGTAGGACACGTGCAGGAACCAAGGGCTTGAGGCCTCTTTAAACATCTCTAACTGGGCTATGAGTTTGGATTCTGGAACATGTTATCATTGCCTGGGTTTTATAATCTAGGCTCCTGGCTTTAAGGCCAGGGATGAATAATAACTTTGTGGGAACTGCTCGTATTACAGTTTTGGGGACTTGCCAGAATCCTGCAACAAAAAAGCAGGATAGACTTACCCAACTACAGCCTGCAATTCTGGAAGCAACCTCCTAATCAATAAAATCTTGGCAGTGCCAAAACTGTGGATATTACAGATTAACGTCCTCTGGACCGACCTCATCTGCTTTTGGCCAAAAGGGAGGCCTGAGATAGAAAAGCTGCCGAGGCTATCCAGGAGCTGGCCAGGCACTTTTCCTGTTGAACATAAGCAATTTCCCGGAACACCAGGATCAGACAAGGCCACTCTGATCGGGATGGGACAAGACGAAAACAAGACCACTCTGTAATCATGTCTGAACACGGACACAGCATGAACCTTGTCTAAATCACAGACATCACCAAACATCCCCCAATCCTGGCTAATGAGTGACTACTGCTTCTTTACCCATCACAACCTCTGTCTAGTCTTCCCTGCTTCTAGATAACATATTTTAAGATGCCCAATTATAGGATTACCCCTGATAGCATCCAGTCCAGAGCAACGCCTGGCTTCCTTAAACGCTCCCCGAAAACACCTGACACAGGCCCAGTCCTGTGTATGGTCCTTTCTGACACCCTCTTGCTGCGATACCCCACACTGCCCCAAGGTTCTCCTTCCCTGCGAAGAGAAGAAAACCTGCTTGTTCCATTCCAGGTGTGTTCCTGGGGGTGTGTGGCTAGAGGGCAGTGATAATAGCGATAATAAGATAAAGTTAATGCTTGGAGTGAATAAACCATAGGTGACTCTCTTAGCAAAACCCTACTTAGTATCAGGTGTTATTCTTATCCAAAACTCACATTCACATGGACCCATCTGCTTATTCAGTCAGGCCAACTGGAACATCTGCAAGAGTTTTTATACACTCTGAGGAAGAGCTGCACTGTCCTGCATAGTTAGCAATGATAACTATCAACCAGGAAGAAGGAAGTTGAAATGGAAAAGAACCCTCCATTAAAAAGGAGAAGGTGGTGGTAGCTGTGGTGGCATGCAGGATACTAACTGGACACCTCCCCAGGCTGTAAAAACCTGGAAGCCAGCCATTGTGCTAC